CCAGATATAAGAGAGTTGTCGGGACCGGAGACGAAGTCTCTTATATCCGGGTTTCTCTTATATCCGGGTTTCTCTTATATCCGGGTTTGGTCTATTTTATATACATTAACACAGGCTCTAATTTGGGACCAGATAAAATCTCTCTTATATCCGGGTTTCTCTTATATCCGGGTCTCTTATATCCGGGTTACACTGTATCTTGCTCTTTTTTCAACCCTCTTAGTCTCTCTCCTTCCTCTTTTTTAATCTCTTTCCAATTCTCTCTCTCTCTCTCTCTCTCTCTCTCCTAGTCACTTAATTTCTCTTCAGTAACTTTAAGTCTCTCTCCAATACTCATTTCTTCTACTCTTAATTTCTCTCCAAATGTCTCTCTCCAACACTTTTAGTCTCTTTCTATCCTCGTCTCTTAATCTCTCCAATCATTTAAATCTCTTTCACAGTCTTAGTCTTTCGATCCAAGTCTCTTAATCTGTCTCCAATCTTCTAAGTCTCTCTTCAATACTCTTAGTCCCTCATTTCTTCTACTCTTAATTTATCTCCAAAAGTCTCGCTCTAACACTTTTAGTCTCTTTCTATCCTCGTCTCTTAATCTCTCCAATCATTTAAATCTCTTTCACAGTCTTAGTCTTTCTATCCAAGTCTTTTAATCTGTCTCTAATCTTCTCTGTCTCTCCCTAACTCTTTTGTTTCTCTCTCAACCTATCTTTCTGTTTCCTTCACCAATTACCATTTTCTTGTCCCCTCTTTTCAACGTGTGCCTCTTTCTCCGTCTCCCTTAATTTTTTCTCTTCCTTTAACCAATTCGCCTCTCTTTACAACTATGTTAGTCTTTCACTCACCGTCTCGAATTTCTCAATTCTCTATTCAATTTATTTTTTTCTCGACTATCATTTTTTTCTATCGCCACAAGTTTCTCTCCTCAGACATCGCAACACTCTCCGATTCTGTTTATCGCGTTTAATATTTTTGTAATTAATTTTGTCCTTTTTTTCCCCAAATCGCTACCCATTTAAATCTCTCTCTCCCCTCTTTCTATCTCTCTTCTTTCTCTCTCTCCCCTCCTTCTCTCTCTTCCCTCTTTCTCCTCCTCCTCTCTCTCTCTCATAATTTGTTTGTAACTCGTTTAATCTCTTTCTTAAACTACTTCATCTTGCTTCCCAACTATTGTTATTTCGTTCTTTAATCCCCTTAGACTCTGTCAGTCTGTTTGTCTGTCTGTCTTTTTCTCTTCCCCCCTCACTCTCTATCTTTCATTCTACTCCTCACTTTCCTACTTCTTTCTCTTTGTTATTATCGTAAACTCCCTTATTTCGTTCTCTAAATACTGTTTCTCTCTCTTTCTCTCTTACTCTCCCTTTCGAACGCTCTCTCCAATTTCCTTCTCTCTCTCAAATCCATTTATTCCACTATCCACTTTTCTTCTTCTCTTAATCTCTCCCTCTACTCTCTCTCTCTCTCTCTCTCTCTATATATATATATATATATATATATATATATATATATATATATATATATATCTTGAATTCCCTCGCATATTTCATCATCTCTCTTTCTATCTTGAAATTTCTTATTTCCCTTCAATTTTCTTCCTTCCTTTCTTTCTCTTCAATTTCTTTACTCCTTCCCCTCCTCTTTCCCCTCTCCCTCTAAATTATTATTTTCCGTAGTTTTTCCTCGCTTTGATTCTCTATAATTATTTCTCTCTCCAATTTTCTCTCTCTGTCTTTCTCTAATTGCCTTATAACCTTCTCCCTCTCTTTCTGTAATTATCCTCTTTCTCAATCTTTATGTTCTTTCTTAACAAATAGCTTCTCATTTATTTCGTTTGGTTTTTCGTCGTTTTCTAACATTGTCTGACTTTCTCTCTTTCTCCCTCTCTTTCACACACACACACACACACACACACACACACACACACACACACACATTTCTTCTCTAAAAAAGACACCCAGAGAAATTATTTTTACTTACACTTATTCCGATTCTCTAACTAGCCAACTACTCTCTATTTTCTACTCTCTCTTTTATATTCTTTCGTTTCTACTCTCTCTGTTCTACTCTCTCTGTTCTACTCTCTCTGTTCTACTCTCTCTGTTCTACTCTCTCCCTTTTCTACCCTCTTGTTTCTACACTCTTTTTTCCTACTCTCATTTCTATCTCTGCTCTTCTCTCTCTTTTCTACTTTCTCGTTTCTACTCTCTCTTTTCTACTCTCTCTTTTCTACTCTTCCGTATCTACTCTCTCCCTTTTCTACTCTCTCGTTTCTACTCTCCCTCTTTTCTCTTCTCTTGTTTCTACACTCTTTTTTACTACTCTCTCTTTTCTATCTCTTTTCTACTCTCTCGTTTCTATCTCTTTTCTACTCTCTCGTTTCTACTCTCTCTGTTCTATTCTCTCTTTTCTACTCTCTCGTTTCTACTCTCTCTCTTTTCTACTCTCTCTTTTCTACTCTCTCTTTTCTACTCTTCCGTTTCTACTCTCTCTTTTATATTCTTTCGTTTCTACTCTCTCTGTTCTACTCTCTCCGTTCTACTCTCTCCCTTTTCTACTCTCTTGTTTCTACACTCTTTTTTCCTACTCTCATTTCTATCTCTGCTCTTCTCTCTCTTTTCTACTTTCTCGTTTCTACTCTCTCTTTTCTACTCTCTCTTTTCTACTCTCTCTTTTCTACTCTCTCTTTTCTACTCTTCCGTTTCTACTCTCTCTTTTATATTCTTTCGTTTCTACTCTCTCTGTTCTACTCTCTCTGTTCTACTCTCTCCGTTCTACTCTCTCCCTTTTCTACCCTCTTGTTTCTACACTCTTTTTTCCTACTCTCATTTCTATCTCTGCTCTTCTCTCTCTTTTCTACTTTCTCGTTTCTACTCTCCCCCTTTTCTCTTCTCTTGTTTCTACACTCCTTTTTACTACTCTCTCGTTTCTATCTCTTTTCTACTCTCTCTCTCTTTTCTACTCTCTCGTTTCTACTCTCTCGTTTCTATCTCTTTTCTACTCTCTCTCTCTTTTCTACTCTCTCTGTTCTATTCTCTCTTTTCTACTCTCCCGTTTCTACTCTCTGCTTTCAAATATAAAGATCTTCTCCGCTTAACTGTCCTGTGGTCTTTTGTTTGCTTCTAATTCTTTTTGCCTACATTCTTCTTTCTATTTAGTCTAAAATATTCACTTTTTTTTTACTCTAGACTCTTTTTCTAGTCCGCTTTACTCTCCTATTTCACATCACTTGTCAGTTTATTGCTTGTTTGCTAAACTCCAGCTTCCTTTTGTAACCAATCGATTCTAGTCGTCAGTTTCAACTTTGAACTCTTTTCTCAACTCTCCTCGTTTATACTTTTCTCTTTCTTTTCAACCTAGTCGCCACTTTCTGAGCTTTCCTTTACATTTTGAACCTTCCGCCTTACACTCCCTTAGAGACTTCATTGAGTTCTCTCTATCACCCTCGTACTCGCTTCATTCCATTCCAATCTCTCTTTCTTTGCTCTTACATTTTACAATCAGTTTCATGTCCTGCTCTCCTTTTTCCTTCAATATCTCCACCGCGTCTTTTATTTGGTTCTAGTTGCCGCTCTCCATCTCCAAGCACCTTACTCTCCCCTCTCTCTCGCCTCGCCCAACTCTAGCTTTCAATCTTCAATGCTTGTCTCATTACCGACACTGTCGTGCGGATCCTCTGTTGGCGTTGTTGTGGAATCCGCTTTCGCGAAAGCAGGCAGGAATAGCAGCAGCAGCAGCAGCATATGCCGTAGTTAGTCGCACTGACGACAGTGGCAATAAAACGAGCGAGAAAGGCGAAATAAAAAAAACAGTTTAAAACAAGAGACAACAAAACACAAAAAAAGTTTAAAATAATAATAATAATAATATCAGGTCATCGACTTCTACCAAAACACTCAAACATAAAAAAACAACATGGAAGGTCACTACCGATTCTTGTTGGTCAGTCTGGCTCTGTGTATGTTCGTTGGCCTTTTCCGATCCGTGGTAGCAGATTACGACTACGATGACATCTTTGACGACGAGGAAGTTTACCCAAAAAGTCGGGTAAGTGAGAAAAACAGATTTTGCATTTTTCATTTTTTTGTCATTAAATTTTGACAATTCGTCTTCTATAATTGTAAATAGAATTTAATCGATAAGCAATTTCAACGTGTTTCTTTTGTTTTGTTTTTGTTATTATTTTTTTTTCTACTGTCTTTTTTTCTTCATTCTTCTAAAAGTACCTTATGGCGGCCGTAAATTTCCAAGCATTGTTCAAACCGCAACGCTAATAGCTGGAGCCGGTTCAGTATCATTCAAGTGATCATTATTTATTCATTCGACTATCAAGAACTGATTGAAATTATCTATTTCTACGAGTTCAGATTTCACAATAATCTATCTATCTATCTATCTATCTATCTATCTATCTATCTATCTATCTATCTATCTCTACACACACACATATATATATGTGTGTGTGTCTTTGTGTGTATGTGTGTGTGTGTATAAAGATGAAAGAAATTCGAAATATAATAATAATTGTATATTATTAAGCCAATAGAGAAAATCAAAGCGTGATGAGAAAAATCTGAAAAAAATCAGAATTTCCAGACACGCCTATGTACTTTTTGAAAGAAAAAAATTACTTATACATAGATAGATATAAACATAAATGCATAGATAAATATAGATCTATTTATGCATGTTCTATGATGTTTTCGATACATCGATGAGATTTTATTAATATATCCGCAAAACAATATTGTCTGATATACATATACATGTGTGTGTGTGTGTGTGTGTGTGTGTGTGTATTGCGAGGAAGAGGGAAGTATTCACTTAATCAATAATGAACATGATTTAATCGGACTAAAATCTATCTTCTCTAGAATTGGAAAATAATTCTCTTGCAATTTACCTTAAAAAGAATCAACTGCAGAATTGGCAAATTCAGAAGCAATATGCAAAATTACAGTGTCATACATGATTATTGTATCTAATAATTATATATAGTTAAAATATAT